GAATTTAGGGTGGTTGCATTTACCATTAACGTTAAGAGGTCTGACCGTATAATCAAATACAGCAAAAATAATCGTACCAAAAATATAAAACGTCTTCTGCTTCGTTCCGAATAACAAATACGCATTAGCTATATAGATACATTCCTTTTTGCACTTATCATGAATATAATTATGAAGGTTGCTATAGTCAGTACGATAAAGGATATAGCCAAAGAAATTCATCAAATTTTTGAGAATGCAAAATGTAATAAAGAAACTACTTTAATAATGACAAATTGAGTAAAGACCGCAGAATTTATCATTGAAATGATCAAGAAGTGATGAAATTTTCATCGAGAAGATTATGTGGCATTTAAACGTCTTGAAAAAGTTTTGATAAATGTCAAAGGATATTCAGAGAAAGTATCAAGATTTGAAGACTATAAAAATTTTTTTAACGCAAAAGAAGTTAAAAGTTACATTCTGCTAATTACATGCAAATAAAGACACACTAAAAAGAAAGAATCTCAAGAATTCGGTACGTACTTCGACTCGTTGAACAACGGGTAGCGTGAACATCCAAATTTTTATTGACAGATAATAAGTTTCGATCTTTATATTTCATAAACGCATAGTTTAAAAAAAAATAATGTCTATCAATCTCAAATCTACTTTTATCTTTATAACACTTCTCGTTATCATCATCATCACACTTCTTCAAATCACACCCGCTGAACTTCTAAAAGATTTTGGTAAATCATAATAGCAATAGACCCAGTTATCCGTTTGTTACCATGTTAAAGGACAAAGATTCATCCGCTAGTCCAACTCCAACTCCAACTCCAACATCATTATCATTACACCCTTCAAACGTTGAACATCAGGGAAACATTATATCTACAATGACCATACGTGTTACGACTGTTTATGATATTTTGTTTAGTTAATTATGCTTTCAGATATATTTTTAGTTGAAGTTTTGTCAACGATATTTTGTACATATATACCAACTTATCCATTATATACATAATCATAATTCACTTGAATTGACATACTCGATTTTGAAAAAAATCGAATATGTAAATATCGATATCAATATTGGAAGTTGTCATAACATAATTGGTGTTGTCATGGATAATAAATGAATAAATAAATAAATAAACGCACATGATATTTAAAACTAAAGAACATATCTAATTATATCTTTTTATATAAATTTATAAAAAGTTTGGACATTTGGGCAGTAACATTAAAATGTACAACGATGGTTATAAGTACATGTTTATATATGAGTGTATTCAATCTAAAGTTTTTTCTGCTAAATCTGTCTGTTCGGTCATCCGAAACCAACAAAATCACTACCACGTGACTCTGCAGAAAGTGGATTTTTAAACATGTTATATGAATTTATTTAAAGTTTAAATTTGTTTTCACAATATTAAGAATCATGTTTCTTACAGTAGTTGATTTTAATGTCTTCATGCTATCGGAATTTGCACGCTATATATCGGTGCGCTACCAATGGTCATTTTTGATAATGCTTTCGTGATCTCTTGCATATTAATGGACTTTGA